CATCCTGAATCAGCCCACACGAAGTTTTACAGTCCAGATTGATTAATACAGTCTATCATTTATTAGTGAAGAATAATAAGGGGGAAGGGAGGGGGGCTTATTGACTTTCTTCCCCTGAAAAGGGGCTTCTTATAGGAGAGAAGGCGCTCATTTGAGAGGGGGTGGCTTAATAGAGGATTTACGGTAATTTCGCGTTTTTATGAGACGGTAATATTTCGCAGGGTTTTATTTTTACGATTTCAATAGGGAAATATTAGTCTGAGATCATGTCCTCTCCCTACTGTCCCTCTATGTCTCTCACGGGAAGAGTTACTTCCCCTCTCGCCTCGCCCGCTCTTAAAAAAGAAAAAAAAACACGTGATAGCGATGCGATAGTGATGGTAGGTTATTTAACACTTTATTTAGGCCAGGGGGCTTTCTCGGTTTTCAAAACATATAGGGTTTAGATTGAAAAGTAGCCTTTCTAGTCTATAAAATCATCGATTTAAGAAAGTTGCAAAGTTTGCATTTTTTCAAAGGTTTTTGGTGAAAAATTTGTCATTTTGTCTTCTTTTCGTTTTTGGCGAAATAGGGCAAGAAAAGGTCTTTGTGGACGTTGTAAATAGAAAACTAGCCTGTCAAAACTATAAAAACATCGGTTTAAGAAAGTCGCAAAATTTGCATTTTCCCAAAGGGGGTAGGCCATGGTTTTGGTCAAAAATTTGAAATTTTTTGTTGTTCTTCTTTTTTGGCAAAATAAAAATCTGCCTTTTTCCAAAGGGAAAAAATTTGTCATTTTTCTTCTTTTCCATTTTTGGTGAAATAGGGCCAGAAAAGGTGTTTGGGGACGATGTAAATAGAAAACTAGCCTCTAAGGACTATAAAAACATCGGTTTAAGAAATTCGCAAAATTTGCATTCTCCCAAAGGGGCTAGGCCATGGTTTTAGTCAAAAATTTGAAAGTCTTTCTTCTCTTCGTTTTAGGCAAAATGGGCCGGAAAAAAAGGTGTTTGGTGACGTTTTAGATTGAAAACTGGCCTTTCTAGTCTATAAAAACATCGATTTAAGAAAGTCGCAAAATTTGCATTTTTCCGAAAGGGTTAGGCCGTGGTTTTGGTCAAAAATTTGTCATTTTTTCTTCTTTTTGTTTTAGCAAAAAAAGGGCAAGTAAAGGTATTTGGTGACATTTTAGAAAGAAAACTAGCCGTTCTAGCCTATAAAAACATCGATTTAAAAAAGTCGCAAAATTTGCATTTTTCCAAAGGGAAAAATTTTTTCATTTTTTCTTCTTTTCGTTTTTGGCGAAATAGGGCCAGAAAAGGTGCTAAGGACTATAAAAACATCGGTTTAAGAAAGTTGCAAAATTTGCATTCTCCCAAAGGGGCTAGGCCATGGTTTTGGTCCAAAATTTGAAATTTTTTCTTTTTTTCGTTTTTGGCAAAATATGCCGAGAAAAGGTGTTTGGTTACGTTTTAGATTGAAAACTAGCCTTTCTAGTCTATAAAAACATCGATTTAAGAAAGTCGCAAAATTTGCATTTTTCCAAAAGGGTTAGGCCATAGCCTTTGTTTGGTCAAAAATTTGAAATTTTTTCTTCTTTTCGTTTTTATCAAAAAGGGCAAGTAAAGGTGTTTTGTCACTTTTTCGATTGAAAACTAGCCTTTCTAGTCCATAAAAATATCGATTTAAGAAAGTCGCAAAAAATGGAAATTTCTAAAAAAGAAGTTAGTCCATGGTTTTGGTAAAAAATTTGTCATTTTTTCTTCTTTTCCACTTTTGGCGAAATAGGGCCAGAAAAGGTTTTGTGGACGTTGTGAATAGAGAACTAGCCTCTCAAGACTATAAAAACATCGGTTTAAGAAAGTCGCAAAATTTGCATTCTCCCAAAGGGCCATGGTTTTGGTCAAATATTTGAAATTTTCGTTTTTGGCAAAATAGGCCGAGAAAAGGTGTTTGGTGACGTTTAAAATGAAAAGTAGCCTTTCTAGTGTATGAAAACACCGATTTAAGAAAGTCGCACGATTTGCATTTTTCCAAAGGGGTTAGTCCATGTTTTGGTAAAAAATTTGTCATTTTTTCTTCCTTTCGTTTTTGGCGAAATAGGGCCAGAAAAGGTGTTTGGTTACGTTTTAGATTTAAAAGTAGCCATTCTAGGCTATAAAAACATCGATTTTAGAAAGTCGCAAAATTTGAATGTTTTCAAAGGGGTCAGTCCATAGTTTTGGTCAAAAATTAGAAATTTTTTCTCTTATGCGATTTTGACAAAATAGGCCGGGAAAAGGTGTTTGGTGCTGTTTTAGATTAAACGCTAGACTTTTTAGTCTTTAAAAACCATCGATTCAAGAAGGTCGCAGAATTTACATTTTTTCAAAGAGGTCAGTCCGGGGTTTTGGTCACAAATTTGAAATTTTTCCTTTTCTTTGTTGTTACCAAAATAGGCCGGGAAATGGTGTTTAGTGACTGTTTCAAGGGATTTATCGCATAAACAAGAAAGCTCTTAGTAGCGTTGAGTCTCGCTTGCTTAGAGCCCATGGGGCTCGGAGACAAGTTTTGTTGTCAAAGGCGCTGGTGCTGTTATGCTACTTTTTCGTTTTGAATACAAAACGAGTCTTATATGTCATAGTGTTAACACTCAAAACGTAAAAATTGCAAGGAGAGAAAGGCCGCACATCTTAGCTTCACACCGGTTTGAAACCTTTGAGAACCTTTTACATCTTGATATGTCTCCAGTGATGAGAACTCTTTCAGAGATTTGACACTCCAAAAATTGAACGATGATTTTTATCACTATAAATATATATGTTTTCTGCGGGAAAAGCGAGCGAGAGAGCTGGGCCAAACTACCGGAACCGGAAATGAGAAGCGAAGGACTTTGAGAAAGTCTAATGACCGGTTTACTTTTATCTCTGATCTGATCGGAGACTGTTTGTGACCCAGTAAACTCTGTGCGCCACCAAAAACGGTCTCTGTTGAAGGGTGTGGCCATGCGGGACTGAAGTAGTTTCCGCCAAACAATTCTGTCATTTTCAGATGCAGCACTTGCTGCATCAATTTTTATGTATTATACTATATATTTTTTTATATTTTCTCCTTCTTTTAACTTTTTGGCCATCATGAGTTAGCCTGGGCTTATATCAGTTACTGTTTTGTTTAGTTTATTCATTTTAAATTTTTATTCGTATCAAATTTCCAACAGTACCGCTTTTTAACTATATTTATGTATTTGTAACGACTTTCCGTTTCTTCAATAAATCTCTCGAAGAGGAACGGCTTAACCGTTCGAAACATCGGGAATACTCAAGCCGCTTTGTTCTTTCCTGTTTTGATATTACAGTTACTTAACTAATAAGCGACTTCCCCGAAGACGGAGTTTTCTTCGGAGTATTTTACACAAACCTTGCCTTGTTACATCTTCCAATTTTATTATTACCATTTATTGTTTTGTTGCAAAATAAACATACTACACTTGCTGAAAACAGGGAAAATCTAATAAGTGCCCGCCCTGAATAAGCGCCCACCCTCAAGGTCCAAAAATTTAATAAGCGCCCAGGGCGGTTAATTGAATAAATACGATATTGAAATTCATACTTAAGAGCCTGTAAAAAATTCGCGTTGAGTTCAATGGATAATCAATAATTTTTTTATTGCTGAAAACAATCAATCACAGGTAAACAAGAAAAGGACAAAGATCTACTATGTGGATCTGCTACTTGTAAATCATCATCTATTTACTTATTCATTTATTTATATTTCATTAAAAGGGTACGAAACGAAACAAAGAGGAAAATCGAGCACAGACTAGAAACTGCCAACCTACCCCTCCCCTAAGCCAAAATTTTGCCGTAAGTGAGAAGTAAGTGTTAATAGAGACCTTTAGCATCAGGTTTTCCATGAAAAACCGCAAACCGCAAACTGCAAAATGTCACGTGACCATGTTGCCCTAGGGGAGGGGTAGGTGGACAGTTTCCCAGAAAAGTATAATTATCTGACTTGCACATAAATTACTAGGAATTAATTTCATTTTTTTAATTAACAATACTTTACGGCGTTCTGAATGCCAAGTCCAATATAAAATAAACGTTGGCGGTCTCTTTCAATAAACCGTGTCAGGAGCCCATGACCGTGTTTGGTTCGATGAAAAATCTTAATCTTCGAGTTAAATACTCCGGTCAGCAAGAGAAGCGGGGGTTAGAGGTTGATTATTTTGCCCAGTCAACATTTTGCAGCAAGAAATTCACTGAGCACTTTAAACTGTGAGAATTTCTGAAGCTCAGCAAGAGATGTGATGTAAAATGCGCTTAGCTTTTGAGCTATTCGCCACGGAAACTGGGTCGAGTTAACTTTCGCAAAGGCTTCTGGGACACTTACTAGGGACTGGAGAAAAACGTAAGATCCCATAAACAACTGCGGGCACAGTTCGGCTCCAATTCCCTCCTCATTTAAAAAGTGGCGAATAGGCTAGCTTGAAGAAATATATAAACAAGGTCGACCTATATTTCTTAAAAAACGTAACAAAACAGTAAAATCACTTGTCCAAAAAAAGTCACGATCCTTCACGCATTAGCTTTTTTTCCCTTCCGCACCAAACTTGCTAATGAGGCATTTTCATCATCGCCATCGTCGAATTCTTTTTGTATCTCTTTATCTGTTTTTGTTACATCTTTTTCACGTTTATCCCTCGCTGCCTTTGGTGAATCTTCTGGCTTCTCATTTTCTACTTTTGCTGTGTTCACTCCTTGCTCTCCTTTTACAATGTCTGCTTTCTTCGCATTTCTTTCCTTCTCCTTTCCTGCCTTTGTTGTTACATCTTGTGGTTTCTCTTTGTCCCTGTCTGCTCCCTTAACATTTTCACGTTCTTCTTTCTCTTTATCTACTTTCTTAACATCCTCCTTCCCTTTCTCCTTATCAGATTTCTTAGCATTTTCCTTTGTTTTTTGTGTCCTTGTTGCGTTTTCTCGTTTCTCCTCGATTACTTTCTCAACATGTTTTTCTTCCTGCTCATCTGCTTTCTTTGAATCTGCTTTCCGCTTCTCATTTCCTGCCTGCTTTGCGTCCTGTTGTTTCTCTTTTTCTTCCTTTGTTATATCACATGCTTTCTCTTCCTTCTTATCTGCTCTGTTTCCTTTTCCTTGTCTCTCTTCCTCTTTATCTCCTCTCTTCACATCTCCTTGTTGTTGTTTCTCTACCCTTGTTACCTCTTCTCGTTCTACGTCTGCTTTCTTTACATTTCCGTCGCCTTTCCCCTTGTCTTTATCTGCCTTCTTTACATCTTTGCCTAGTTTCAATTTTTCCTCCTCTACTTTCGTTTCATCTTGTTTTTTTGGCTCTTTACTTGATCTTTCTACATCTTCTGCTTCTCTCGAATCTACTTTCTTTTTACTTCCGTCTACCTTCTTGGATTGGTCTGCTTTCTCAAATTCTCCCTTTCCTTTTTCTTTCTCTTTAATGGCTTTATTTACATTTGTTTGCATGTCTTTTTCAACCGCTTTGTTCTGATCTTCAACTCCTTCCTCTTTCTTTTTCTTGTCTTTCTTCACACTTTTGTCTCCTTCGTCTTTTCCTTCATCCGCTTTCTTTTCATTCTTTTCACTGTTTTTCTGCTTTGTTTCTTTGTCATATTTTTCTGTTTTAGCGTCAGTTGTACTCATATCTTCTACATCTACATCTTCGTCGCTTTCCTCTTCCTAACAAATAAAATCAACATGCCAAAGTGTAAAGACTTTCTGTATAGTAGTGGTGGTAGTTAAATGGTAACGCTAATGGGCTTTAACCAATAAACAGCACCACAACAAAGAACTTCTAAGTAATTTTTTAGCCCCCCACCCCCCCCCCCCGCAACGGCCCCCTCCTAGAACCGCTTACGGAGGAGGGGTATAAGCCCAGGGCGTAGAAGCGGCAGGTTGATATCGTACCCCCGGAGGGGTATTCCTGGGAATTCGTGATGGGGGTGTGCCGGCCGGTTCTCCAAATCCTGACCCAATTTCACACCCCAAAATTGACATTTTCCACACCCGTTTTCAGACCTGGCGTAGGCAGAAATTATGTTATCATTAAAGCCAACTCAGTCACTGTAAGGACCTCCAGTTGGTGTTTTCATAAGTGAGAGTCCGAAATAGCGGGAGTTTATTTCAGTCAAACGACTGAAATTTATTTTCTTAAAATCCACCTCGAATTCGCGTATTACTCTTTCTTTCTTATTCCGTTGGAATTGAAACGACAAATACGTTCATGCATTCCCTCGAAAACCATACCCGAATTCAGACCAGAATAGGCAAAATCTATACCCGTTTTCAGACCAAAACGGCGCAAAAACCATATCCTTTGGGGTACCCCCCCCCACGGGTATCGTATGAAATATTGCTCCTCGTGTTATCCAAAGTTCTCAATCGCTTACCGATTCGTCACATTCTGTGCAGAACCACAGGTATCCTCGCGTCTTGGGGTTGGCCTGCAAAATAAAAATAAAAAGTAAGATAAGTCTTAACGAAAAGGAGCTCTTTCCATCCTACAAGACAGTAGACAAAAAATAACGATAACTCCAAATTTGTTTTGCAAAACACTATCATGTGATAGGACAGCTGACTGGGTTTCATTTAAATGGTCAAACTGAAGGATTTTATCCACAGGCTTAAAAGTTAGAAGTACACCTCAACTTTGTACTAACAATTTTGAACGAGGAACGTAGTGTGACAGTCACGACAAAGTTAAGGTTGCAGCTTTATGATAACGTGTTACTCTGTGAGCTGTTACTGAACAGACGCACGGCAACATGCGACCGAGACGATTTCTTTCAGTTGAGGCCATTTCAAGTCGCCAAGAATACTCTTCGTCTCGGGTTTTTCCTTTTTCTTGTAAACAGCTCGTGATAAACTATTTTCGAGGACTTACTTGCTCAATTCGAAATAATCTCGCGACAACTTTCAAAACCGAGCAACTTGTTGGACAAAATAAAGCAAAAATTTTCCCCGTGACGTCATCTGTATGTCTGCACTCTAATATTTCATAGACAACGACCAATCACAGGGCTAGTGGTATTCAGGCTTTGTAAAACTAGTACGCTATTTGATATCTTGTAAAAAAGTAAAAAACGGTCTTTGCATCAAAATAATTTCAAAAATTATGGTTTAGTTTTGTTATTCAAGCTTATATTTAGGCCGTTTCCTAGCTATTCACTATTGCTACGGATGGAAAGGATTGACATGGATTAAAAGTTTTTAAAAAGTGGGCCATCTTTTTTTTTGCTATACCTGCAAAAACCAACAAAAAATGCTGGATCATTATACATTTCTAGGAATCTGCCTACCTACCCCTCCCCCTAAGCCAACATTTTGCTTTAAGTGAGAAGTAAATGTTAATGTTGGCTTAGGGAAGGGGTTGGTGGGCAGATGGTTTGTGTTCGCTGAGGAAATTTGATTGATATCTTATTCATATCTCTGTAAAACCACTTTGTGTGTAGTCAGGCACAAAGTAATGACTTCAGCACAGAATTGACCTAAAAAAGCGATATCCTCGTGACATACGCCCTTTAAAACTGAACTTACTTTTATCGGAGGATCAAGGCATTGGAAGTGATAACAAAGCTTGCACTGGTGGCATCTGTAAAAAGTAGTAAAGAATAAATAAGTGAGTAAATAAATAAATAAACAATGTCATCAGGCCTGGCACTGATCAGGCTACTTAAGTCTGCAGAAACCGCCATATTTGATTTTAAAAGCAGAGGAAATTGGGAGGGGGTAGAAAATGTGACCATTAAAGTTGAGATAAGCTTACAAATATTACAACAACAACGAAATATAAAAGCAAACAAACAAAGAAGAGTGAATTTCAGGGTGGGGGAAAGGTCTGTATAACTCTTCTGCGCTCTGCGGTGACTTAAGAAACGTTGAAATCTTCACCACCTTCACCAAGACCATAATGCACCATAATTTCTCCTAGGTATAACAGTCGTCCCAAGAGAAATCGGAGACAATGGTTATGCCAAATTCTGGGGTGTAAACAAGGTGCATTATTGTCTCGGTGACAATGGTGAACTTCCCAGCATACCTCACAAGATTAGAATTGGTGCCGCTCTGTTTGCAAACACAACACTCAGTGCGAGAGTCTTCAGGCTTCTTCTTCTTTTCAGGTGGTTCTATGCTTCTTCGCCCAGGGCGCCTTCCTCTTTTCGCTGCAGGCGCAGAGCTTTCTTCTAATTTTGGCTTCTGCGAAAATCAACCACAGATCTTGATTAGTAAACGGCCACAAATAAATGCACAAGTTTTCTGAGGAATCTGTTTAAGATGAACGCGTAGTTGCATCAAACATCGTATTTAAATAAATGGACAGAAGTCCGTATGAAGGTTTTCTGATTGGCTATCCGAGCCATAGATGCCACAGCCAAAGGTTTCTGAAATTCCCTGACTTTTCCCTGAGAACTGCAAATTTCCCTGACCAAATGAATTAACAAATTCAGAAATTAGTCTTTGATGGACTCAACCGCCCCCCCCCCCCACCCCTCACAGCAATCCTCTCCACGACTGATTTATGCTTTCAGCAAGTCACGTGGAGTGTCCATGAATTGATAAAAAAGAATGTGTACTCTTAAAATTTCACTTTATCTTGACTTCTTTCAAGGACTTAAATTTTCCCTTGGTCAAAGTGAAATTCTCTGACTCTTGCCTGGCCTTGAAGAATAATTTTCGCTAACCATTTCCTGACCGATAGTAACCATGCGAGAGGGAAAGACGAGCCCCTTCTGCACGCTCGGTGTTGGTCCCGCAATAATAAGTTCTCTTTTTGGCCATGTAATTAATCCTTTGTATATTGATCAAGCTTGTTCCATGAAGATGGCTGGGTATTCATCGTTCTTTTTCGCGTTTTTATTGGCCAATATCTAGCCATCTTGACCACACCCATGGACAATAACGCATTTTTCCTACCGGATCAATGAGTGGTTTCACGACAAAAAACATGCAGGGGTCGGCAATGCCCCAACTCCTTAGAACAATAAAAGCTGTAGGATATGGGGAGTAGTGACAATAGAGGTCCTGAAGAAGCGCAGGGCTATATGAATCAGACAGCCCTCACCCGAGTTACTCAAAAGAAGGGAATTTAGGTTAGAACTGATGAGAGGGGACTGCGCCCGAGATCAGACAGAGATAGTAGAATTTATCGCCTTGCACAACTTAATAACCAATTCCACAGGAAAGAACTGCCGAGTAGCTTCTACTCAAATGGTCACGTGGCTCCACCTACAAGCTCCAAAGTCAGAATTGCATTTAATGTCTCCAGCGGTTAACTCCGATTGTGTCAGGCTTGAGTCAGTAGACAGATGAAAGTAGTTTGCAACATGTATTCCTGATGCAACCTGACTTACCTCTCCCTTGTCTGGAGTGAATTTAGTAGGTTCTTTGATGACCCGTCTTTGGCGGCCTTGAGAAATGGGTGTGGTGTCCTCAGTATCGACTTCCATTTCGTCATCATCATCGCTGGGGTCACACTCTGAACACTGCATGTAATAACAAACAATTACGCTAAGGCTTGAAAAATTATGCACCGCGAAACATTGCTGTTCCCCGGATGAAGTGCACGTTTATGGAGATCTTATAGCTAAATTCGTTGTATTGGGCTGCGTGTTTTGCAAACTTCGAAAAAAATTTTGAGTTTTTCTGTTCCGTCAATCATCTTAGCGGACCTCTTAGGAAACAAATGTTTACTTGTGATTGGTGCATTTCGATCCACTTTGTTTGTTTCTGTCTTTCAAAGGTCGTTGCTTGTGATCGCCCTGTTTCGGGCAATAGTCGAACAGTTTTCTTCAAATATTTTTCTGATCTTTCTTATTCTTGTCTCTTGAAAGAATAAAGCAATGTCTGCCTCCTGCCCTCTACAAAAATACCACTCATCATCACGATTTCCTTCGCTATTCTTGAGCAGTCTAGACTCCTTCTCAGTTTTGTTTTTGCGGGCCAAGCTGGGCGAGTACGTTGCATCGTCGCCGCTGAAGGGTTGAAAGACTAACCTGAAGAATGCAAGCAATTACTTCCCAAAGAAAAATAAAGCGATCGTAAGTGTTTGAGTTGGTCTTTAGTTATTTCATAGCGTTTGCGACCTCGTCCTGTCTGTGAAAGATCCAGCGGTGCAGAATAAGATATATCCAGTGAGTCAAAAATCTACATTGTTGCGGCATTCTATCCGACTTGAAAGCAAATCAGTTATGTAGGTTAAAGAATTCTTCAGGTGCTGCACAGGAACTTGAATCGCATTCGACGGAATACCAGTAGCATTTGTGAAACCATTCGACATGTCATTCAGCAGGAATGACAACGTGCCGAAGCATCCTCTAATCGACTCCTCGTTTGAATCAGAACGTCTGTCTCTAACTTATCAGCACTAGCCAACAGATTAAGAACGCTTTTTAGATTCTTTAAGAAAATCGCGAACCCACGTTCATTTCTCTCTCGTAACACCAGTGCACGTGACCGACGAGTACGAGCCGCCTGTTTGTTTTAGGTGCATTACCGTAGAGGCTTATGGGACATTTGCCAAAACTACGAAAAAATAATTATGACTAACGAAAAATAATTCTCGAATGGAAAAAATTAAATTATCATTATATTATGAGAAACGTACAACAAAATCAATTAATTATCCAAAAAACATAATTATGGCAGACAAAAAACTAATCAGCAACCGTAAAATAATTTGCGTAATGGACAAAAATAATTTCCAAGAAACATAACAATATAGACGGCACAAAAATAATTACTGGCATAGTTAAAAATAATTACAAACAGACAAAATATTAATAGCAGGTACTCATCAAATTAATTCATCAAGAGGGAAAAATTAATCACGCAATTTTGACCATGACGGGCCTTCATATTTACTGACCAATCAAGCCTTTTGTCTCCAGTTGTTTAACAAAATTAGCCTATAACCGATGAGTCTGATTGAGACTTTTAAACTAAAGCTACACACAGTAAATCATCTGGCAGGTTTAACCATGACCGAGCAGTTCTGTACTGCAAAGCTACATGATACGGTCGAGGGAATAATTATTCAGTTGTAGATATTTTTTGAACGAAAAGTTCATGTAAATTTACTAGTAAGTTAAACCATGGCTGAACAGTGCTGCTCTCAAGCGGTGAATTTTTTGCTAAAATTTACTCGCTAAAGAAGAACTTCCCGCCTTGCTTTCTTTGTTTTATATTTCACATTCTCCTTCCAAAAATCAATGAAAAGGTAATCGCGGGGCGCGAAAGAAGTTCACCCATTCACAAAATGTGTTCATGTAAGGAAGTTTGTGGATATATGGACAAAAGTACAAAAATCTTTGTACTGTGGTTGCTTGTATTAAGCATAAAGGTTAAAAAAAAAAACAAGGAAAAAAAAGAGCATTTTGACAAGAAATGAGTTAACAAAAGAGGAAGGCCAGTCGCGCTCGCTGTACGCTGTACACTTGAGAGTTATCTGAAAGAAAAAAGAAGGAAGACGAGAACAGCCCAAAATATTCGGTTCCAGGCCCTTCCAGAAACCCTACCGGCTTTGAAAACGCAAATCCTCGCTGACGTCACATTAAACTACGAAACAGGTGTTAAATTTTTCAAACTGAAAGTTTGCGTCGGATGGCTTAAAATTTTAAAAAGGAATAGAACTTCAAAAATCCATCACTACTTTATCATGTTTCAAAGACTTTCGGCTCGTCGGTTAAATTGAGAGAAAAACCTCGCCGTTTCAACTTTTTAGAATGATTTAACCTTCTATTGTTAAACCAGCCGTTTTAGATTAAATAAGCACATCTTTCCCAGCTTGAAACTTTTCGCATCTCAGTTATCAACAAAGAGGTAATTGGAACTTGATGGAAACGAACCATGTATTGAACATTTTAAACGTTGTGTTTTCATTATGTATGTTAATAAACGACCTTACAACCCTGTACTCTACAAACAATACACACTGCGTTTGAGACATATTAAACGGTCTACATTAACATCGAGCGTCAAAGTAGTCGTCTATTTTAAAAATGGAACAGAGAACAGGTGACTAATGTAAAACGCTTGAAAAACAACCGGCAAGATAAAAAATGGCTGAACAGTACTGCAATCGAACGTTGGAAGATTTTCTACAACTTGCCCGTTACAGAGAATCTTTCTTCTTTTCTCTCTGTTTCAAACTTCGCGTTTTCTCTCGTGACAAGTCTTGGAAATATTTTAGTAATTCGCGCCTTTTTCAAAGCTTCGTCAATACCAGCCAACGTCAAGAACCTGTTCCTTAGTCTGGCTTTCTCTGATCTTGGGGTGGGATTCGTGTCGCAGCTAATGGCCGGCATTATTTTTGCCGTGATACTGAACACAGCATCAAAAGAAGACTAAAACTTAACGTCACTCTGTCCAACAGTTATAAATTTGTGGTTATATCTCTTCTATTTTCTCTGCGCTGCATCTCTCCTAACTCTCACGACCACTGCATTCGACAGACTTCTTGCTGTTTCGCTCCATTTGCGATATCAAGAGCTTGTCACGTCCAAGCGCGTCACTATAGTATTGATATCTATATCGTTAACAAGTTTTATCACTGCCTTGATATACAATTTCCTTCCGAAAAGCAATGAAATGGTAGCTGCAGTTATTTTACTGGTAGGGTATTTTCTGACCACAGTGGCATGTGTTCGTATTTACAAAGTCGTCAAATATCACCAGAATCAGATATACAGTCAAAATCAGCTTCAAAATGCACAAACAAGGGAGGCACTCAGACAAAGGAAGTCCGCTTATAATGCTTTATTTGTCTATTTTGTTTTTCTAGTTTGTTGTCTTCCTTTTTTGCCTTCTGTAATATTGTACTTGATTAATACTTCTGAAATTTCGTTTCTCATAGCCAAATGTGCGTCGTTATTCTTAATTTACCTGAATTCATCATTAAATCCAATTGTTTATTGCTGGCGGTACCGAGAGATTCGCCATTTGTAAAAAGCACAATGAAGAAAATACTTCGTTTGGACGAGAATATAACGTGAGGATGCGAAGTTCTGCGAGACGAAATTTGGTGAGAACGAGCAATTCTAGAAGGAAACTGGGACGAGCTAACTTTCGCAAAGACTACTAGGACTGTTACAAGGAACAAGGGAAAAAATGACCAAAAATGACCGCGCTGATGGGCGCCTCCCCACCTGAGTAACAGTTTGAGAAAAAATTGCAGGAAATATTTCGGCCTTAATCGTTTCAAAAGTGGCGAATGGACTTGCTGTGCCCAAAGACCAAGGAAAGGTGTTGTAGACGGAAGAGGATTGGTCGCTACAATTGGAATTGGTCTCTCAATAGAGAACTTGAAAGCAGACACCTTTGAACTAAATTACGTCTACGACTTTCACGAAATGTAAAAGACTTACAGCGCTAAAAGACTAACATATAAAAGTGAATTTCAATTCAGCATTTTAAACATTGGGATGCACCTAAAATTGAATTCTTCAAAACACGATCTGGTCCCTCCGAATTGCGAAGAAAGAAGACACCTTTAGGGCACCTACTTAATCAAACTCAGTTCCCTTTTTCATCGTCAACTAACTTCTTAAAGAGAAAAGAGGGGATTTTCCCCTTTTTATGGACAAAACTGTGTTCGCTATGGCGCAAGAACCTTACAGGCGTGATTGTACCGATTACTTGCAAAGAATAAGCAACAATGTGACAAAATGGCCTTTGTTCAAGCTGAAATCGATTTCCATCCGAGCAATCGGCAGCCAAAGTAGTAGCTTACAACTGACTGTATGTGTCCACTGAAAAAGTGAAGTCTCTCTTTCGCTTGGCCGTGGGAGATCTGGGTACGAGATAAGACGCGCCGTACGGCTTGTCGTAAGCTACAGCGGAAGTTGCAATGTTGAGGATCTTTAGAGACGAACACATGTACTCGTTAGCATTCGAAAAGAGTTTACAAATAAGCAAGGTCATTCGCTTTGCGGCAGTCAATTTAGAAAAATCGTCGCAAGTCTACATTTGAGACAAATCTCAAAGAAAGACGAAGAAGGACGAAAACAGTCCATAATGTTGGGCTCCAGTCCATTTATAAAAACCTCACTGACTTGCAAGACTAAAAAGCCTCGCTGACTGGACGTCACTTTACTAACTACTACTGAAACAGGTGCTAAACGTTTTAAAACTGAAGCATTGCATCAAAATGCTTAAAATTTTAAATAAAAAATAGAACTAAACAAAATCCATCTGTATTCTATTATGTTTCAAAACTTCGCTGGACAGTTAAATTTAGAGGAAAAACTTAACCCTTTTAACGTTTTAGAATAAATTAAAGTTCTATTTCCTATACCGAGCATTTGCAATTAAACAAACGGTTCTTCTCAGCAGGCAACAGCTCACATGTCAATTATGGACAGAGAGGTAACTTGAACTTTATGGAAAGGACCCTATATTTAAGCAATAGAAAACGTTTTCTGTGTTTCCATAGCCTGATATAAACACGAGAGGGCTTTGGGAGAATTCTGGACAGTTATGCAAACCCAACACGAAGTCGAGAGTTTGCATAACTGTCGATAATTCTCTCAACGCCTCGAGTGTTTATATCAGGCTATGCAAACACAGGAAAAAAGTTTTCTATTGCTTTTATAAAATAAATTTCCCGAGAAAAAACGAAAAACTCTTTGTATGGCACTGATTAAAAGAGAAATTCTTACCAGTAGCAAATTCTTGTCCACGAAGTCTTGCACGGGTAATCAGTTGTCGTTTTGCAAAAAGATGCTTTCCAAAATACGGACTTTTCTCGCTTCAAATGTCAGCTTAAGCGAAAAAAAATTGACACACTTTCTTTGTAACGATTTTCCAAGTTTCAGCCGACCAAGGAATAGGCAAATAAAGTAAACTTGTCGAGTTTTGAACTTGAAAACTTTTTCAAATTCGCGCTTGCGTGATTAGCGCGCGAAAAGCAAAACATCTTGACGCCAAAACCATGTTTACATACTCGCATGTAAACACTCATCTCAGCCAATCAGAGCGCGCGTACTATCTTAGTTATTTTATAAATTGCGGTGTTTCATTCCTTTATTTTCAATGCTAGCGTTGCAAAACCTTCCCTTTGCATTGTTTTCTGGGTTGGCCTTGTTTTGTACAATTTGATTCGGTGTTTCAACCCTTAAAAATCTCTCCCAACAATAACACTGAATTTCTGTTTGCACTCTACCCATAACATTAAGTCTAAGGCTTTGGTTAATGAACCGGCTTTATTACGCGCTACAGCAGATGGCCGAAGTGAAAAAAAAAAAAAAGCTAATAAAAGGAGGGGTAATTAAGGTAGTTATCAGTTTTAACCACGACAAATACATGCATATTGTGACAAGTAAAACTATGGCTGAACAGACTTGCACGGCTCGATTTCTGGATTATTGGATTAAACTGGTTTCCCACAGGAGAAGTTTCTTCCTTGGTTTCTGTGTTTTAAACTTTGTATTTTCCCTCGTGGCGACTCTAGGAAATCTTTTGGCCATCCGTGCCTTAATGAAGACCTCAACGATACCAGCCACCGTCAAGAAGATGTTCCTAAGTCTGGCTTTCTCTGATCTTGCAGTTGGATTGTTACCGCAGCTAATGACCGCTATTATGAGCGCCGTGATGTTGAAAATGGCATCAAGTGGAGACGACTTTGCCTTCTTTTGTCCAACAGTTTTTTTGATTGTGCATTTATATTTTCTGTATCTTCTCGCCGCTTCATCTTTCCTGAATGTTATTATCATTGCATTTGATAGAATTCTCGCTGTTTCGCTCCATCTGCGATATGAGGAGCTTGTCACGCCCAGACGTGTTACAATAGTGTTGGTGTCTTTATGGTTAACAAGCTGCATCTTCCCCTTCCTGGTTATTTTCCTCCCGAAAGGCATTGAAATGATACCTGGCGTTATTTCCGTTATAGGATATGTTCTGACAACCGTGGCGTACATTCGTCTTTACAAAGTTGTCAGATATCATCAGAATCAGATATACAGTCAAAATCAGCTTCAACATGCCCAAAGAAGAGAGGCACACCGACAAAGGAAGTCAGCCTATAATAGTTTATTTGTCTCTGTAGTTTTCTTAGCATGTTATTTTCCCTTTTTGCCTTGCACAATATTGTATGTGACAAACAGTTCAGAAATTTCATTTCTCGTGGCTCATTTTGCGTCTATGCTCCTGATTTACCTGAATTCATCATTAAATCCCTTTGTTTATTGTTGGAGGTTCCCAGAGATTCGCCAAAGTGTAAAAAGCACAGTAAAACAGATATTTCAAATGAACGAGAACATGTCATAAAGAAGGAATTAAAGATCTGGGTAGTTTGAACCTATAGTCTTTTCAGTGTCTTTGCGAAGACTGGAAAACGAAATTTATTGAGAAAACTAATGGACTTGCTTTAGGCCAAAAGAAAATGCAAAATGTAAAACGAAAAAGAATAGTCTATTACAAAACTGGCTTGCTATAGGCGCACGCATCGATTTTAAAATATTACATTTAAAAATTTAAACGATTTAGCTCCTTACTATTTGACTTCGCTCCTTCTCAAATACCAGCCGGATCGTTTACTCCGCTCATCTAATAGATTTGCTTTTACAAGTTCCTTCTGTTAATACCGTGGCTTATGACACCGCTCATTTTCATACCATACACCGATAATCTGGAACAGTCTACCAGATCATATCAAAAACTCTCAATCTGTTTCTACTTTAAAGCAACGTTTGAAAACTTTTCTTTTTAGGAACAACTACTATATATAGTTTCACTTAGACTTTATTTACTATTATAAGCGCATGGAGAATTCTTTAAATGCGCCATGAAAACCTACTACTACTAATACTATTATTATTATTAAAATAGAAATGGTCTTGAGATATTGGGAAAGGACAAATGACTAGTAAAGTCGTCACCGTTATAACTTTCACAAATTTCTCACAGGAACAAAGTTATGAGGATCTTGTCATGTGATGGTCTAACTTTGCTTAGCCCTTTGAGCCCTAAGATTGATCATAATCAAAGTTCTCCTTGTAATACCTATGCTTTGGAACACGGAGCGGTCATGAGAATTACGGACATGATTACACAGATTCTTTAACAACTTCTCCCAACTACTCTTATAGGAAATGTAAAGGGACAACAAATAGACAATACAATTTAAAGGATTAATATGTGGCAAGTATAATTCTTGCACAAAATGGTCATAGATCTTTGCCAAGAAAAAGCATTTCAAATTCCACTGACTGATGAGAAAGGCCAAAACTATTAGGTTCAGGTCCTTCCAGAAACCTCACCGGCTTTGAAAACGCAAAACCCTCGCAAACGTCACATTAAACTACGAAACAGGTGTTACATTTTTCAAACTAAACGTTTGCGTCGGATTGCTTAGAATTTTAAAACGAATAGCATTAAAAAAATCCATCACTACTTTATTATGTTTCCAAGATTTCCAACTGGTCGGTTAAATTGAGAGACAAATCTCGCCGTTTCAACGTTTTAGAATGATTTAATCTTCTTTAGTTAAACCAGGCGTTTTAGATTAAACAAGCATATCTTTCCCAGCTTGAAACTACTTACATATTAATTATCAACGAAGAGGTAATTGTATTTGGTAATTGTATTTTCCCTCGTGGCGACTCTAGGAAATCTTTTTGTCATCCGCGCCTTAATGAAGAACGCAACGATACCAGCTAACGTCAAGAAGCTGTTTCTAAGTCTGGCTTTCTCTTATCTTGCAGTTGGATTGTGTTCGCAGCTAATGACCGCTTTTTTCAGTGCCGTGATATTGAAGATGGCATCAAGTGGGGACGACTTAGCCTTCTTTTGTCCAACAGTTTTGATCGTGCATTCATATTTTGTGTCTCTTCTCGCCGCTGCATCTTTCATGAATATTACTGTCATCGCAGGCGATAGACTTCTCACCATTTCGCTCCATATGCGCTATCAGGAACTTTTCACGCCCTTACGTGTTACAATAGTGTTGGTGTCTTTATGGTTAACAAGTTGCGTCTATGCCTTCACATTATTTTTCACTCCAAAAGGCACTGCAATGGCAGGTACGGTTATTTCCGTTATAGGATATGTTCTGACAACCTTGGCGAATGTTCGTATTTACAAAGTTGTCAGATATCATCAGAATCAGATATACAGGCAAAATCAGCTGCAAAATCCCCAAACAAGAGAGGCACACCGACAAAGGAAGTCCGCCTATAATAGTTTATTGATCTCTGTAGTTTTCTTGGCCTGTTATTTTCCCTTTTTGCCTTGCACAATATTGTCTTCGATAAACCCCTCTGAAGTTTCATTTCTCGTAGCTCATTTTGCGTCGATATTCCTGATTTACCTGAATTCATCATTAAATCCTTTTGTTTATTGTTGGCGGTACCCAGAGATTCGCCAAACTGTAAAAAGCACAGTAAAGCAAATATTTCACATCAACGAGAACATGTCATAAGGAAGGAATTAAAGCTCTCGCTAGTTTGAACTGACAGTCTTTTCAGTGTCTTTGCGAAGTCTGGAAAACGAAATTTAGTAAGAAAACTAATGAACTTGCTTTAGGCCAAAAGAAAATGATAAATGTAAAACGAAAAAGAATAGTCTATTACAAAATGGAAATGGTGTTGAGAAATTGGGAAACGACACATGACTTGTAAAGAGGTCACCGTTATAACTTTCACAAATTTATCACGGGAACAAAGTTATGAGGATCTTGGCATGTGATGGTCTAACTGTGCTTAGCCCTTTGAGCCCTAAGATTGATCAACATCAAAGTTCTCCTGGTAGTACCTATGCTTTAGAAAACGGAGCGGTCGTGAGAATTAGGGACATGATCACACAGATTCTTTAACAACTTCTCCCAACTACTATTATAGGAAATGTATAGGGACAAC